GGGAAAGAAAAACATTTTGGGGAGACACTAAATTGGTTTCTGGGTAACCTGAGGTGAGACTCTAGAGACTGATCACAGCTGGCTATGGGTGATGTTCCTTGCACGAGTTCACAATGCAACTGGGCAGGGTCAGTGTTGTGGACGTCAATAGGATCCGTTACTAGAATTGGCCTGATAATGACTAATTTGGGTGTGAGCAGGTCTGGGTTCATTAGCTTCTCCGCTTTCGGTATCCCATAGTTCAGTGCGGTTCCTGCTTTGGAAGAGATGGTGTCCATGCTGGATGCTAATGGAGATGTCTCTCTGTTCTATCTTCCATGCAGCTGAGGCTGGGGTGTTTCCTTAATTCCATCACCCTTGTCTGGAGGGGTTCAGGTGGGTCTTCTCTGGCCTTTTCCTTGCTTTGCCTTTGATTCCAGCAGAGGTCTGGGGGAGGAGAATGGTTTTCCATGGGTGTCACTCCCTGGCTCCCCAAGAACTTGGAGTTAGAAGGTAACAGAAGCGCTCCCAAAGGGTCTTCTGTGATCTCGTGCTGACAGGCGTGACTTCAGAATCAAACTAGTTACTGCTTCCTTTTTAATATCTGAATTGTAGCAATGCCTATAGGGCTTACCCCAACACCAGAGCTCTGTAGTGCTGGGAGCTATACAAACTATACTGGGCTGCCAGGTCTGGTCAAGTTAAGGCTCCATCCAAATTCCTTTGAAAATCTACTCTCTTTTAAGTGCCCTAAAATCATCACGTTTACTTGCATTGCCTGGAATTTAGGTAAAACAAAAAGAAAAAATATCTAGCACTTTAAAGACTAACAACATGGTTTCTTAGGTGATGAGCTATCGTGGGCCAGACCCACGACTTCAGAACATATTCTGAAAGAGAATTGGCATAGAATCATAGAATCATAGAACACTAGGACTGGAAGGGACCTCAAGAGGTCATCGAGTCCAGTCCCCTGCCCTCATGGCAGGACCAAATACTGTCTAGACCATCCCTGACAGACATTTATCTAACCTACTCTTAAATATCTCCAGAGATAGGGATTCCACAACCTCCCTGGGCAATTTATTCCAGTGTTTGACCACCCTGACAGCTAGGAACTTTTTCTTACTGTCCAACCTCTTTCAGAAGCATCTTCAGAAGCATCTTTGGTATGAGCAAAGGGCTGGGAAGGATGGGTGACCCTCCTAACATAGGATGAATTCCAGAGACGTGTAAGATAGCACTTTGTTCCATCTCCGCTTAGAACCTGCATCAGGAACGTTGTGGTCAGTACATGTGATGTGATTTCTTTAACTAGTCTACTCTCAACCTTTTATTACTTTCTTTAAGTAACCCTTTAGATTGTAGATTCTAAAAGATCAGCAGAGTGTGCTCTTTAAGGTCAGCTCTAAGGTATACATTGACCGAGGAACATGACTGCTCCTTTGGGATCAGAAGAACCTGTTTGGATTTGGTGAGACTGGTTTCCATAACCTCTCACCTGTGTGAACTGCAATGCTGGTTGTGGTGCAGGAGAAGCGGGGGTGTCTAAGGAGATTGCTTGTGCGATTTCTTGCTGGCCTGAGTGGGAGCTGAAGTGCTCTTTGGGACTGGTTTGGTGCCTTATAGAGGAGGATCCCCAGTCTTGGGCTGTTAGTAGTCCTGGTTGTAAACGATTTGTCCTGATTTGACCCTCTCAGCAGAGCCCCCACCACTGTTATGTTACAGCGGCATAGTCACAGGATCCACAGAACCAGGTTAATGAAGCTTTGGACCAGGACCCCACACTATAGTAAAATTGGACTTGGGGAGTGAGAGTTTGTGGTTAAGGGCAGTTGCAATGAGTCAGCAACAATATGAGGAGTTCACAAAAAGGCCCTGGAGAATTTGTGCTTGGAGAAAGGACTCTCCTTTTGGAATAAAGCCACAAATCGAGAACTGAGATCTTTGCTAGTGATCAGTGACCAGCAGGCCAGAGAGCAGCCCTCCCCTACTGTCACTGATGCTGCAGAAGCAGTTAGAGTGCAGCAGGCGCTGAAGAAAGTGGCACTTGAACATGACAAAAACATGCAGACCTGCTTTGAAAGGAAAAAGAAAAGGACAAGGAAAGAGT